GGAGCTGGGATGGGGAGGGCCAGGCTGGGTGTTAGGAAAATGTTCTTCACTGAGAGGGTGATCAGGCACTGGGACAGGTGCCCCAGGGCAGCGCTCACAGCACTGAGCCTGACAGAGGTCAAGAAGCACTTGGACAATGTTTTCAGATGTGGTCTAATTTTTGGGTGGTCCTGTGTGGAGCCAGGAGTTGAACTCAGTGATCCTTGTTGATCTCTTCCAAATCAGGATAATCTATGATTTACATATAAAATAATTGTTACTTTGTTACAGATTGTGGGGGGGGGGGGGGTTGAGGGGAGAGGCTTCTAATATCAGTATGTTTTTTTTATGTGTAAACTCTAACTGTAAGAATACAGTTGAATACCACTTAGTCTTTCAGTCCAGCACCAGTGTTTTAGAGTTCACAAGCATTCTTGCTAATCCAGCATTCATACGCCCACTGCTACATATCCTATAGCGTGTGCTAGAATTTATGTTTATGGCACAGCCAACGATTAACTAATATAAACTTCTCTTTTTACTTTACCCATTAGATCACACTTTCACTTTGCCAGCAGTCTATCACACAGCATCTATTTCTAAAGCAGAAACATTATAGTAAACAACAAGGAAAATAAACAATTGCAAATTACAAAAGATTTGCGTATTCATTTTGGATAAACACAATAAATAGCTAAAAGGAACTTTTCTGAAATCTACAGACCTCTTGGCTCTGCAAAATGTAGGTGGTAATTTCACAAGGACAGTCTTCTTAATGATTTCTGATATTATGCATTTCTAATTGGGTCAGAACAGGATTATGGAGAAAATAAAAACACTTCTCCCTATAGAAGACAATGCAAGTTGGGCAGCAGATATGCTGCATGCTGGTATATAAACAGATGGAGACTTTCTAGAATTTAACAATTCCCATTTTAAAAGCTGTTGCCATCATTTAAAACCACAGCAAGGGTTGTGCTAGGCAAAATGGAAAGCAAACAGAGCTGGCAGACCAGTCAAGTCAATGACTGGAAAGGAACATGAAAAACATTGTCTATGGATGGTCAGTTTTAGAATCAAGAGCTCTGAATATTCAGTTCAAGTCCACCTACAGCAAGTGTTATGAGTTAATATGGACTCAGACAGCATTTGGACGTGAACCATGGCTTGCCTTCAGGAATGACTGTAAAGCTGAATTTCACCCTTGGGTACACTGGTGCATATAAGGGAAAATTTTACTGTCAGTGAAGCTACTTTAGATTTATGCTGATTTAAGTGAGAGCAGATGATGGGCTGTAATCTGCTGTCTGGTTTATAATAGCTCAGAGGTTCACATTGAAGTGTTATATATCTTTACTGTAACAACTCTAATAATCATCCCTTCGGATGGAAAAAAAATCAACTGATGACATTAATCAAGTTGCCCAACAGCACAGAGTGAGTGACTTGACTAACGAACCTGGCAACTGGTATAAATATACAAAAGAGAAAGAAAAATCCTTCCCATTAAGGAAATTTGCAGTTTCCATCAAGGAAAGGCAATTAGCAGTTCTATGCCTCTGACCAGGCATAGCAGGAAATACGCCTTTAGTCCCCACCCTTCCTCCAAAACTGCTGAGCTGAACCAGAAAGCAGCTTTACAATGTTGACTATGCCCTGGTGCAGCGAAAGGCACTCTGTTTTAGAGCATAACCAAATATTTCTTTTCTACTGAGTCAATAGCTTCAGCCAGGTGGAGCTGGGCTGACCACAGTTGTACTGAAAGACTATGGATGTCGCTGCTTCTGGTTGTTACTGACAATTCAACCCCCAAGACTGATTATAATCTGGAGTTTAAATCTCAGAGTAAAAATACATGTTCGATCCACAAATAAATAGAATCTACTCAAACTGTATCAAGTAGAACATAGATACTTTCCTCTTCAGCTTACATTGCAATTATATCTTCACTAATTGTCAAGGCATTTTGTTCTATTTTGTTGTTTATCTTTATTTGTTTTTTAATAATTCTCTCTCTCTCTTTCCCCTCTCCCCCTCCCCCCCAAAAAAATTGAGCTATAGGGTTGAATATTACAGAGTCTTTTTGGCTTGTCAAGATAATGTTATGTTTACCATGTTAAAATCACATCCTTCACAATACTGGTTTAACCTTTTTTTTTTTCTACTCACTATGCTGTGTCATCTTCTGATGGAGAAAACGAAAGAACAAATAAAAATAAAGACATCTGAACCAGTAATTTATAGCAATGCCTTTTTCAGGCAGAACATCTCAGAACATGTCAGAATTTCAGATAATCAGATATTAATAATAGTAAAATAAGTATGGTTATGAGTAATAATAAACACTAGCTTCATTTTTACTGTTGAAGGACAAATCCTTTGCTATGGTAAACAAACCCAATCTCACACCACTGATACAACTGGATGTTATATGGATATGGTTGTATGGATATATAACTGGATATGCTAAGTCTGACAATTCTTGCATAAAATAAAACTGATGAATAATATATTTTCATTAAACGTGACAGACACAATGGAGTTAAGTAGCTCAGTGCAGAGAAACAAGACATTATCATAAAGTTTAGATGGACAAGTACATTAACATTCAAATAAATTTGACTCACAGAGGCAATAGCTTTCTTTGGGGAACTGAAATGGTTTCTTATGACCATCGGAAGCATAAACTGCCATCATGAGTACAACCTATGTCTGGAGCAGCAAATGGTCAAAAAAGGTTGACATTATTTTATGATACTTCAAAATATGAGTAGCACCGTAAAGTGCACATTTCTATGTACCTTTGTACTTGCCAGCTTTGTTCCAAAACAACTGCATGAACAGTTTGCGTACACTGTTTGCAATGAGATCTGTGGCATTAAAGAAAAGAGTAACATACATAGGACAAGATGCCTGTATCTCTTAGACCTGCTTCTACTCTACAATTAACATTCTAATTAGACAAAACCATTACAGAAACACATTAGGCAACAGAATACATGAATTGTCAAGGTAACACAGAAACTCTGATGGAATCAACATCCATAGTTAGGTTCCTTGTGTATGTACCTCTCCTTGTGTATGTTTCTTCTGTATGTACCTCTATTTCAAAGAGCAGAGTGGCCTGCCTATACAAGAGCAACATCTCAGGCTATCCTCAAAAATAATTTTCAAAAGCTTGAGTAAGAAAACTAAAAATTGGTGATCACTTAGCCAGGTTTTAAGCTTATTTACATTATTTACATGGAGATCTGAGGAGAAAGATAAATGCTGTATCTAGTGTTCCAAGAGGATCCAGGAAACTACGGACAAATAAAGTTCATTTCACTCCCTGAGAAAATCATGGACGTAGTCCAGAATATATTTCTGTACATTTGAAGGCAGAGATGGCAAGCAGGGATAGTGAGCAGGAATTTGCCAACAGCAAATCACACACGACCAACTTGATTGCTTTCTAAAGCAATAAATCACTAGATAGGTGGACAAGGTGAAAGCACTGGATCACATTTATTTTAACTTTAGCATGTTTTTCAACATCATGTCCACAATATTTTTGTATTAAAGTAAGGACATATAAGATGGATAGCCTATATGTCAGAGGAACCTGAAAGTTGGAGAAAGGGCCAATGAGAATATCATGAAATTCAGAAAGGACAAATGCAAAGTCCTTCACCTCTGAACGAAGAAGTCCTGACTGAGAAGCAGCCCTACTGACAAAGACCTTGGAGTTGTGATGAGCAGCAAACCCATAGCATAAGCCAGTAGCACACCTTGTCTGTAAAGAAGGCCAACAGCTTCTTGGTCTGCCTTAAAAGAACCATAGCCAGTAGATCAAAGCAAGTGATTATTGACTTTCACCTTTTACTCATTAGACTGCATCTAGCACAGTGCATCCAGTTCAGTGTCCCTGGTACAAGACGATGCCAAACTGGAACAACTTCAGAGTTAGGGCAGCCAAAATGGTTAGAGGCCAGAATAACTGCCTTGTGAGTAGAGGCCAAGAGAAAGGGGCTTACTGAGCTTGGATAAAAGACTTCATGGCAACCTAACAGAAGTGTGACAGAACTTATGAGGAGGTCTTCAAGAAAACAAAGCTAGACTTTTTGGAGCAGTGCTAAGTGGGAGGACAAGATACCACACGTAAATTTAAACTGAATGTAAGGAAGAACTTGTTTCACCATGAAGGACATTGGAAGAAGTTACCCAGAGAAGTTAGGCAGTCTCCACTTTGGAGGTTTTCAAGACTAGATGGGATAAAGCCTTGGTCTGGTCCACTGACCCTGCTTTGATCAGGAGGTTGGATTAGATAATCTACTGAGGTCCCTTCTAACCTGAATTATTCTCTATCTGCAATCTAAATGTTTGTATGTGAACTAGTTGTCCAAGTTCCCATTATAGTCACTGGAGATCTAGTCAATACAGTCAATGGGGTTTAGTCAATAATTCATATGACTAAATACAGATGTCTATTTTAGGATGAGATGAATCACATCACTTCATTAACTATATTGATTAGCTCACTTTTGAGTAAAGTCAGTCTTCATGGACTTAATCAGCTGTGGTTGTCCATATCATATGCCCAAAGTCATATGAGCTCCCCACGTTAGGTTTAAAATATCAGTTGCAAACACACTCAAAAACATTTTTTTGAAGTCTCAGAACCCTGAAAGGAAACACTTGATTTCATCAGAAAAAGTCCAGACAGTTCTAGGAACAATTTTTAGTACAGATTTACTGAGAGGAATAAGGGAACTGTTAGCAATGCCTGTTATAATTTATGCATCAAGACATCATATGACAGAGCAGTCAAAGATGGGAGATAGCCCTTTTTCTCCCATCTCTGATGTCACTGTCACTGACATCAACTGGGAGTGTCAGGGCCCTGAGTATTTCAGCAGAATCCAACTGCCCTGCCCAGTCTTTAACCAATTTTCCTCTATAAACCTCTTCTGCAGTTCCTTCTATCCCTGCCTACAGGTTTAGGTGCTTGGGTTAAAGGTATAATGATTTTGTCTGGGATAGAGTAAATTTTCTTTATAGAGGCTTGTATGATGCCATGTTTGGGATTTGTGATGAAAACAGTGGTGATAACACACTGGAGTAATCTCACCTTGGGAGAGTGAGCAAGAGGCTATGTGGTACTTGGCTGCCTGCTGAGGTTAAACCGTAACAAAAGCTCTGCTCTAATATTGAACAGCTGTGTAATCCTGGGTGAGATTTCTGTAACAATAGCTAAGATATGGGAAACTGCTGTGAGAAGCTCCATTTGGGGCCTCTACCCATGCAGCCTCCACTGGCTTAGGTGCTGCACTGAGGTCTCAATACCTTGCCTCTGTCCTGCTGTAGGTATATTGGGCTTTATCTTTTTGATCCTGATCTTTCCTTTCTGACAACTTTGTGGTCTAACCTCATTTCTGCCTTATCACTACAGATTTCATTGACAATCACCCCCTGATCTGTTGGCTGAACTTTGTTACCATCTCCAAACCTGCTTCATCTTTCATGGTCGGGTACTGTGGGACTACACCAGTCATGAGTGAGGCACTGTCCTGCTGTCACCCTCACATCCCTTGTGAAGGAGTCACATTGACTCCTGACAGCAACAGACAGAAGAGTGTTCAGTAGCATCATCACTAATACAAATGGAAGCACAAATGTGTATTAGTACAGACTTGGATATCCTGTTGACCTTTTTACGCTCAGCAGTCCATAGAGACATATAGGTCAAGTACTACTTCAAGTTTTGTGTCTTCAGAATGCCCTTCAATGGTACTGTTACTTCAAGACGGCATTCCTACAAACTCCTCCTCAGAATTCTAGTTTTTCCTCCTCCTTGTAATAATATGTATAGACTAAAAATATTTTGTAATGCATTTACTTATATGGAACATGCTGTGATCTTTCCAGTATAACTCCCGCCACCACTCCAATAAAATAAAAACCTAATTTCACAGTTAGAAAAGCTTGAGTAAAGATCCAAACAGTATTGAGCAATCATTGAAAAGTTCCTATGATATACTTTCTTGTTCTACTTTAGCAATTATGAGTACATGACTTCAGTTTCTCATCATAAACAAATTTAATATTTTCAACAGTTTTCCATCTATGCACTAAATGATTGCACATAGAAACAGAGTAGCACCACGAAAAAACAGCATGCATCACTTCAAGTGATTGTGCCACATTAGTCACCTTCCTAAAAGATTTTATTCATTGTAATGTTTTTTTACTCAGGAAGAATGAAATTTGTCACCTACATTCCTAATGAGCTTTCTTTCTTTTTGAATAGCTCAATCAAGCAGACTGAGCTCCTTATAGGATAAGTCACTCCATCAAGGGAGTAAAATATAGCAGCACCCTACCCATAAGAAAAAGTGGTAAAGTACATCAGATTACTCACAGTAAAGTTTATTATTTGCAAGACTAAGGCTTGAACTGGTGGTTTTCAAAATGTAGCCCAGAAAATTGTAATTTTGGAGAAGTTCTGTATTCAGGGTTTTAATGCCATACCTGTGAATTTATCAGGACAAAACTACTAACAAGAGCCAAGTTTCTCACTTACCTAATCAGTTTAGAGGATAAAACTCTGAAATCCTAAATGCCACTGTGAAAGTATATCCATGGAGATGAAATGCAAGCACTTACACCAGTATTTAGTTCTGTTTCTGTTAGTTTCTGATGCTGACTAGTTTCAGCCATGACCTCAAAGGCAATAATATCTACTAAAACCAAGAAACCTGTTTCTATTAATTTGAACAGGCAATATGTGAGGCTAATTGACCAGTGCTAGTCTCTGTCAAAAATTACTTCACCTGCCTCTCAAATGGCCATGAAGAATATATTTAAGAGTTTGAGAAGTTTCACCTACATGACAAGTGTAAGACATAATTTACAGTAGTGTTTTCTACAAATGTCGTGCTCTTTTGTCACTGTTCAACTGACTAAGAGTTTACCTTACAGTGTTTTGAAATCATATCCCCCATACACACTCCAGTTTACAGCTTTAATCTCTCCAAAAGGCAGTTAGTTAGACCAGGAAAAGTCAGCAATAGAAATTCCTAGTCAATCGGAACTAGGTGAAGGAAATGCATAGTAGTTGAGGACACAGGAATCCAACCCCCTATTACTCTTAATTAGGCAGCACCACCCTATGTCCACTAATAATCTATGAAGGTTCTATCACTTATAGCCATACAAGAAATCTCTGAAATCACTCATTACTCATATCACACTTTTATGCTGAAATTCTCCATAACCCCTTCCTTTACCTCACCTTCCAAGTTACTTCAACAGGCCTGACAGGACTGTGGTAGCAGCCTGTGACAGGAGGTGCTGTAGGCCTCCTGCATTGGCAAAGTGCATTACTCAAGGGACAATTAATGGAGAAGAAATTGCTTGCTCCTTGCCTTTCCTTTTCCTTCTTACATGTCTTATCAATAATTTAATCATATCTTTCTAGTTCAGAAGCTCTTGGTGCCATAACTTCCACCTACTTCCACCTACAATGAGGACTTCAGGCCACTGCAAAAGTTAAGTAAAGGCAGGGTATTCCTGGTGAGCACCCTCCAAGTTTTAAAAATTGGTCAGGGTGAAGAAAGAGGGTCCTTAAGAATCGACTGCAGGAACTTTGTCATCTATAAATGCTACGGACCCCAGGGAAAAGGCCCAATTAACTGAACTGATCCATTTGTGACTAATCATTTGGATCAACTTCTGCTACTGTCCGACAATCTGCATATCTTTCTACCTTTCTCTTTCTTTGTAGGTCAGGCATAATTCAAACATATGCTGCTTTCACATTTCTCACTTGAAAATATGGTTATCTAGAGCCGGAATCAACATGTTATAAAGTCAGAGGGCCTCTTGCATCTCTTCCTTCTAGCCACTAAAATGTCTTATTTGATTATACTCTGTCTATATAGATGTCTATAAGGCCATCAACATCAGGAATCTGAGCACTTAATAAATTAGACCATGGCCTTTTGAACTGAGCAAGGAAACAATTTCACCAAAATTAAAAAGAAATAGCAATAAGGTAAGGTAACAATTTAGAGTCTTCATTGGAATCTAAACGGCTTACAAAATGTACACATGAATCTCTGAAACAGCAAATCAGCCTCATTTGAAATGAATCCTTAAACTCTTCTACATTTAGCTTATCTAATACAAGAGTCTGCAATACATTCTAGCCACCATAAATTCCACCCTTTAGAAACGAATGTACAAAAATACACACCATCTGCGTATAGTGATCTACAGTATGAATCTATATATCTTAATCTCTATATCGGTCTATTAATTTTTATGATGATAAGAACAGACAGCATAGAGACCGAAGCCCCAAACTAAATCATGACAGAAATAATTAAGAGTCCTCCTTTTTACTGCTTTCATGGAAATAATTCCATCTAGTTTATTATACCATGCTGAAGCACTGGCTTCAGGTTTGGTACATTTAGTAGACAAAAAAGAATATAATTGCAAGGAAACACACTCACATTAACAACTGATCTTATTAATTTTTATTATACTAATTTGCAAATAATCATCTTTTCTGTCAGCACCTTCTTTTTTACACTTGTCTAGTTTCATTTCTCTTAATATTTTAAAAAATGGTTCTTACTTTTTGGTAATTAAATAAAATGAGATGTTCACACGTTTAACTTTACTATCAAGTGGAAAATAGGCAATAAGAATAACTGTTTTAGAATGGCTGAAAATAAAAGGTACAGAGAATGATCCTGCAGCAGCAGTAGTGGTTTGAACACAAAATTCAAGATGTATTTCTTCTCAGATAGATTCAGTGCAACAGATTTGAAGGCAAGTGCAAAGAAACAAGTGATGCCAAGGAAACAGAAGACAAGATCTGTCAACAGAAATAAATATTTTTATCTGACTAGAAACTGTACTTGAAAGGTATGTTCAAAATGGAAAAAGACACAGAAGACACACCAGTGAACAGACTAGTTTGTAGCAACTAGTACCTGACCTAACTTCACCACCAAATACGTATTTTATATTTATACATTCAAAGTGTGACCTTCTTAAAACAGTGTCATTTTACTGCCAATCCTTTTCCATTTTATTGAAGGAGTTGTGTAAATAAGATTCTAACACATGAAGAGAGGAATCCATGCAGAGGAAACATTGCCATTGCAAGGACACCTTGATCTCTCCTGTTTTTCCATCATGGGCAAATAGAGTTCAGGACTCTAAGGAATTAAATGCTTTTCAATGCATTTTTTTCAATGATTTCTTACAGACGATAAAGCCACTTTTTACAGAAAGTATATGAGCAATATGAAACTAATTAAAAGAGATGTTAATACCCTGCAACACACATAGAATTGATCCAAATCATAAGGACAGAACTAATCAATTGCAATAAAGCAAATTGAGAGAAAAAACTATCCAAGTACTGCAATCACTACCATAGCTTCAGGAGTTCAGAAAGAAAATTAGCATAAATTTTGCTAGATATGCTATGAAAATTGTAACTTGCATGCTGAATAAGACCCAAACATTTCATCTTGACTCCTGTTATAATTGTAATAGATCGATAATTATTTGCTACTGATTATGAATAATGTGCTGAAAAAGCGATATTATATTTGCTCTAAATAGAATTTCACTCTCGTGAAAATGTATCAGTTCTGATGTCATATTCGTGGATTTAAAAAGTACATGGCTATTTATTTTTGAATAGCAAGTTTAGATCAAAAACAGACTATGTTGGAAAATGATTAATTATATATAAAGGAGTCATCCAAACAAAACATTATTTAAGAGCAAGGACATCTTCATAAATCCTATTAGAACATGGACATTAACTGTTTAAGGGACTGGAGCATCTCTCAGACATAGAGAGATGAAGAGAGATGAAGAGAAGCTGAGAGCTGGAACTGGTGGGGAGAGAAAAAAAAAAAAAGAAAAAAAGAATGCCCGGAGAAAAAAAGGTTCAGGGGCATCTTCTCAATATGAATAAATACCTGACAGGGGAGTGGTTTAAAAAAAGATGGAACCAGACTCTTCTCAGTGGCATCCAACAAATGGATAAGGGGCCATTGGAACAAATTATAATAACAGAAATTCCACATAAACATAAGAAAATACTTTGACAATGGAGGTGGTCAGGCACTGACACACATTACCCAGAAAGGTCTTTCTGTCTTTGAAAGCATTCAAAACCTGACTGGGTATGGCCCTGAGCAACTGACCCTGCTTTGGGAATGGAGTTGGACAAAACCATCTCCAGTAGTACATTTCAAAATCAACAATTCTGGGACTCACAGGTGGAGGAAACTTCACTCTGCCCAATGCAAATACTAAAGACAGCTACGGCATCAATTCTTCTGTATTTCATACCAGGAAACAAAACAAGACAAAACGAAACAAAAAAAACAACTCTCATACACCCAAGGAAATGATCAGGGGAAGCACATGCTTCAGACCAACACCCAGAACACACCGATTATTTACCATACAGATATGTTTTAAAGTTGAACTACTCTTGATTTCAATTACCAATAGAATATAAAAGGAAAGGGAGGATGCAGCAGTGAGCATGAATCTCACTCCTTTTATGACTGTAACTAATTATAACACAAGTATTCAAACAAAAGTTTCCTTAGTTTCACTGTGCCCTACTCCTTGTGAAAAGCATTGACCAGATTTGTCATTTGAAAGATGACAGAGCACGAACATGATCCTTAAAGGTTTGGAGAAAAAAACAGCACAACTTAAATATTTAAAAGGATGCCAAATCGAATGAGAGATTGTTTTGATCAGGAGATCCCTCTTCTGATTGGTGATACAGAAAAAAAAAAAGTCAGCACTCTTTGTTTTTAGAGGTCTGGGATAACAGTGTAATTGAGTTCCAGCTATACTGGTCACATGACTTTAAAAATTCACAACACAGCACAATACAAGTGTTCCTGGCTTCAGCATGATTCAGAACACAACAGAAGTGTGTTGTAGGTCAACACAAAGGTGTATGTACAGAAGCTTGCAAAACAGGTGCGGTGCTTCTGTTTTATTTTTTAATGCATACGAAGCCTACCCTTCCACAGTCTTACACATCATAGTGTGATAT